GTGAGTGAGTGAGTGAGTGAGTGAGTGAGTGAGTGAGTGAGTGAGTGAGTGAGTGAGTGAGTGAGTGAGTGAGTGAGTGAGTGAGTGAGTGAGTGAGTGAGTGAGTGAGTGAGTGAGTGAGTGAGTGAGTGAGTGAGTGAGTGAGTGAGTGAGTGAGTGAGTGAGTGAGTGAGTGAGTGAGTGAGTGAGTGAGTGTGTCTGAGTGATGAAGATGAGCTGCTCGTGATGAAGATGCGGCTCACCATGGCTTCCAGGTCGCTCACGCTGGGCGGCACGAAGATGGACTGCACCATGAACTTGTGCTTGCTCTTCTCGTTAGGGTCGTAATCAAACGGCTGCAGCATGACTGGAGGAGAGCAGAGAGAGCGTCAGGGTCACAGCACACCAGATCAAGATCTTGTGCTCTGTTTGCGTCTGAAGCTCAGAGAACAGCGCTCTCAATCTGTGTGCCTTCTCCAGCCGATCCGTGCATATCACTGCAGAAAAGGTTGCTCCGGAACTGGCTTCTTTCTTATTTATCGAGCTGATCTTAACTTAAAAACTTTAATTAATAATCTATATTTTATTTATGAAAAGAAATCAATGCAGTGTTTTTAAACTTTTAATTACAGTTTCTGTACATTTGTGTGTATTTATGCTATTGCTAATTGATATGTTTGTTCCTGTTTTATTACTGGCTGTTTACTTGTCTTTAACACTTTAATATTTTAAATTAACACTAGTCTAGTTGTTTTGCTGTGGTATTTTTGTTAAAAACAAGTTCCTCTTGTAAGCCTAAGTGTTCTGATTTTTGCTCATGTTATTCAGCTGCAACAGAACGCTTTGTAAAAATTAATTTGACTTCATTGGATTGTTTATCTGATTGGAATCGATAGGAATGGATCAAACTGAACCGCTACGATGCACAGCAGCGGGTCTCACCGGAGATGGTGACGGTGGCGCCGGGGTCGATGACGCCGCTGTTGGGCCGCACGCAGTAGCGGCGAGGAGCTGTGGTCTTCACTTTGAAGCATACTCTTCTGTCAGACGGGTTCCTCAGCTTCAGGTTAGTGGTCACCACATCTGTGAAGGGTCCTGCACACATCAGGAGAACCATCATGATCAGCTCTCCATATTACTGGTGTAGTGAAGCGTCGTCCGAGACATGTCATTCATAAATAATGCAGAAACACACAGGCCCTCATAACCAGTCTGTTTTGACCCGGAAGAGATGCATAAACATCTCTAAAAAAAAGCATAGTTTTTAGTAAGGAAACAAAACTCAGCCAAATCTTTAAGACCTCTAAGACACTTTTCTTCCCACAATTATTTTTAAGAGATATAACCATTAAATGTTCCATGTTTATGAATTCGAAGGCATTTTATTAAGCTCCATTCATTCAAATGAGGTTAATACTAGGGATGCACCGATTTCTAATTATTATAAAGCCATCTGCATATCAGAAATAGCATGAAAAAGGCCGATACCGATGTTTATTAATTAACTGCATGGAGACGAGTTGCATGTCTGTTGCACAATCCAACGTTTTTCTCTGAGCAAAATAATTAAATACTTACAAAACAAGAGTTTATCCGAGGATCTGTCACGCCGAGCATTAGGCCTACAGTGAAACCAAAGGCAGGTAATATGCAGCTTTTTGTCTGAAGCAGTGTAGAACACAGATTCACGCACCTGCCGTGTGTTTTTGCTGCAAACATTTGTAAATATCTTGAAAAAAATTCTTTAATGTTTTTATTGCGTTGACAATTTTTTCTTGTCTAATACATTTGGTCTTTGGTAAATCTAGAAGATGATGCTGTGTAGGCTATGACTGACAGAGATCGTTCCAGACTCTCTTCATGACTTTTTTTCTTCTTTAATAAATTAAACACTGTACTCTATTATTATCATTGGCAAAGAAAAAGTTTTTAAAATAATGTTATTAACCGGTGTGTTTTCTACTCGAGCCGGGTTCACAGAGGAACGACGGAACAGAAACGTTCAAATACTGATTCTGCTCGGAGTGAACCACTCTGTCTTTTTTCTCTCGTTTTTAATTTAACTGACTGGTATCAGTATCAGTATCGGTATCGCTATCAGTATCAGTACCAGTATCGACATCAGTATCGGTATCCATATCAGTATCGGTATCAGTATCGGTATCCATATCAGTATCGGTATCCATATCAGTATCGGTATCAGTATCAGTATCGGTATCAGTATCGGTATCCATATCAGTATCAGTATCCATATCAGTATCCATATCAGTATCAGTATCGGTATCGGTATCAGTATCAGTATCGGCATCAGTACCGGTATCAGTACCGGCCAATAGTTGTTTGTTAAAATCAGTATCGGCTAAAAATAAATCCTATCGGTGCATCCCTAGTTAATACTGATAATTCTCAGATTATACGTTCTTATAAATTTCATAAAATTATATATTCAAACTAAATTTCACATCAATATTGAAAAAATAAATAAAAATTATATATATATATATAAGATTTTAAGCTGTCATATGGTCAAGTTACAACGTGCCCCTCAGATGTGACAATGTGTTCCACCTACGGGGGGTATCGCTATCAGTATCAGTACCAGTATCGACATCAGTATCGGTGTCCATATCAGTAGCAGTACCAGTATCGACATCAGTATCGGTATCCATATCAGTATCGGTATAAGTATCGGTATCCATATCAGTATCGGTATCCATATCAGTATCGGTATCAGTATCAGTATCAGTACCAGTATCAGTATCAGTATCGGTATCAGTATCCATATCAGTATCAGTATCCATATCAGTATCAGTATCGGTATCGGTATCAGTATCAGTATCGGCATCAGTACCGGTATCAGTACCGGCCAATAGTTGTTTGTTAAAATCAGTATCGGCTAAAAATAAATCCTATCGGTGCATCCCTAGTTAATACTGATAATTCTCAGATTATACGTTCTTATAAATTTCATAAAATTATATATTCAAACTAAATTTCACATCAATATTGAAAAAATAAATAAAAATTATATATATATATATTTTTTTCCCCCAAAGAATTTTGTGGGGTTCATGTGTAATTCAACATTTCAAACCATTTCTCAATTTTTTAAATTAATTAAAAAAAAAGTAAATGCAGATAATACTGATTATTCTCAGAGTATGTTCTTATAAATTTAATACAATGATATAATCAAATAAAATTTCTAATCAATATATATATAAGAATTTTCAAAAAATTACTCAATTTTTTTAAATTAATAAAAAATGCGGTAATAACATTTTTTATTCATTTATAAGAAGTTCCTGATCAGATACAACATGGTTTTAATTGGGGAAAAATCATTAAGTTATGACACTTTTATAAAATAATTATTTTGATCCAAACGGACCGGAAGTCTGAACACTATCCAGACTCTGAATGTGCTACATACACACTTCATGCACTGAGAAAGAGCTGATCATGCAGTATTGATCAAGTGAGGCTTGCTGAACAAGTGTTAGTTTGCCTGAAAACAGCTCAGTATCGATCACCTGAGTAACGTTACTACTGACAGATCTGATCCATTCAGCATCTCGAGCGTTCATTAATCTGTTGCGAAGTCTTTAGCTCTGAAGCTAACGCTGACAGCTGACCGACACAGAGTACACTAACGAGTCAACATTCACCCTAAACGCGTTTAGCAGAACGAGCTGGTATAAATCAACACTTATGTGCGCTTTCCCCCGCAGGCCTGCGCATCCTCGGGCCTCGCGTCAAACGCCAGCCGGGGGAGGGGTGCAGGCATGCGGGCGGCCGCGCAGCCTGGGCCCGAGGCCTCCGCGGCCGGGGATTCGTGAGTGAGCCGCGGTTACCTCTGAAGCGGAGGTCGCCCGGCGGGTCGAGGATCAGAATCTGCTCCAGTTTGGACATGACAGCCGTTAAAACGGGACTCGGACAGTCACGTGCTGCTCACGACGCGCGCGGGCACGAGCAGCAGGGCGGCTGCGCGCACGGCGGGACACGTCGCTCAGATGAAGGAACGGCTGGAGCGCGTGTTTACTTCCAGAGCTCTTCTCTTATTTCTTCTGTTTAGGTCTGTTGCATTGAAAGCTAAAGGCGCGGGAATGATCCGCCTCGCCTCGTCAGAATCGCTGTGAGCGGGAAAGCCGCAGTGCGCATGCGCAGGGACCGATGACCCTTGCGCGTTGACGTCATCACTCTACGCAAACACACACGCAAGGCTCTCTGCGATAAATGCAGTAATACATGTATTATACATGCGTTAAAGAAGAATTATGATGCTCTATCTATTCTCATACAAGAAACATTAATATTCGCTGTGAATGTTTTTTTTAGATTATATTTATGTACATATCATGGTGAATGCCGTTCGTTATCACCCGCTTGTAAGTCTAATTTTGACTTTACGTAATGTAAACAAATAAATATAAACGAATGTCCATAGTTCTGCGCATGCGTGACGCTCCGTGCGTGCGCGCTCTAGAGGCTGCGCTCGGCGCGTGCGTGATAAAGGCTCAGTGCTCCGAGGCGCGTGTCTGTGTGTTCGTGTAGTTCGTGTGTGTGTGTGTGTGAAAGGCGTTGGCTTCATGCTGAGTGTGATTCATATAGCGCAGGTCACGTGACCCGCTGCTGGGGTAATCTGGGGTAAATGTGTGTAAATAGCATAGACTGTGTGGTAAATACACACTGAATCATAACCGTGTTAGAGATATAATAGAGCTTCACTGAACTCCATGCCCAGAATCATGGTAATAATACCACGGTACCGTGCTCAGAAACATGGTGTTTTTGTTCGTGACGCGGTAGACAGCTGTGCTGGGACTTGGTTTAGTCGTCTGAACTAGTCTACAGCTTTACTAGCGCTGTTTACTAGGTCAGGTTATATGTGACCCTGGAGCACAAAACCAGTTATAACAGTCAATTTTGTGAAATTATGATTTATAATTTAAATAATCTTTCCATTGATGTATGGTTTGTTAGGATAGGACAATATTTAAAAATCTGGAATCTGAGGGAGCAAAAAAATCTAAATATTGAGAAAATCATCTTTAAAGTTGTCCAAATTAAGTTCTTAGCAATGCATATTACTAATCAAAAATTAAGTTTTGATATATTTACGGTAGGAAATTTACAAAATATCTTCATGGAACATGATCTTTACTTAATATCCTAATGATTTTTTGGCATAAAAGAAAAATTTATAATTTTGACCCATACAATGTATTGTTGGCTATTGCTACAAATATACCCCAGCGACTTAACACTGCTTTTGTGCTGCAGGCTCACATATTAGATTTCTGCTTGTTTCTCTGTGGTGATGTGTACGGATCATAATAATAATACTTCATTTTCATATAGTGTCTTTCAGGAGCTTTACAGATACATGAAACAAACAAAACTGATACTGTTTACACACAGTTTACTGATGTTTTCTAACTCTCGCTGTCATCCTAGTTTGGGATTGGAATATAAACTGCACAGTTATCTCAAATAATCGTGATTAGATCAAATAACCACCATCAGTCGATTAATCAACAACAGTGACTGGCCTGTGGATAAATATTATTCCATAACTACAGTTAAACTGCTGTCAGTATGCGATATGATCGAAACTGTAACCCTGTCATTAATATGCATTATTTAATCGCATCATTGACACACATAACCATATATTACGCTTCACACTATATCAATCTGTTATAAACTGCACAAAACCGTCATAATCCTCAATATCACCATATAATAAATTAATAACTCCAACCTATGTCTAACATATGCAGCTTTATCCACATACAGTTCATAAAGCGCTGCTGTACTGCAGATATCAACTGCTTGATTGTTTATATCACCACACAATGTAATATTATCATCCAGCTCTAATCTGCTCAGTGCATTTATTAGGCGCGAAAATCTTAGAAACATTAACATCAGGATTTACGTAAAGCTGCTTTGAAACGTGGCATATTTTATAAAGTTACTTTAATGTTCAGGAGGATCCGATGCTGGAGCCCCAGATGAATTGTGTGTGTTTGAGTGTGTGTGTTTGAGTGTGTGTGTTTGAGTGTGTGTGTGAGTGTGTGATCTTCAACAGGTGAAACACAGAACCCTGTTAATATGACTCTACAGTATGCAGACCTGTTATATCTGTCAGGGCAGGGTGTTCAGGATGCTGTATCCCACAATGCACCTGACGCTCTGTTTGATTGTGTTCAGGCAGATGGTGGCCCGCAGTCTTCTGGACACGCTCCGGGCCGTCAGCGAGGATGAGCGCGAGTGTGTGTCTGTGCTGGAGCGGATCGACAGACTCGCAGACGACTCAGGTACTGAACCGAGTCACTGATTCATCGTGTCCTGTGAGCTCTAGACTGATAAACACACACACATCCTATATCAGTCACATGTGTGTGTTTAGTGAAAGGAGAAGAATGTTTTGTTTGTTTTTTTGTAAGTCTTCTTTGAAGTGTATTTTATTAAATGATGCTAGGAAACGTTTTTACTCAAAAATACATTTAATGTACATATTAATATAAAAAAAAAGAGAGAGAGAATGTTTCACCTGGGAAAAATATTAGAATTTTATCAAATATCAATTAGATTTTTTTTTTTTTGTAAAATATATATATAGGCCAAAATAAAATTTTGCATCCAAAATAAAAGTTTTTGTTTACATAATAGGCCTATTTGTGTGCATACTGTGTATGTATATATAAATACACACACATGCATGTATATATTTCAGAAAAATATGTTGTTTATATATTAAATATATTTGTATATAATATAAATTATATGATTATAAATATTTACATGTCAATATTTTCAAAATATATACTGTGTGTGTATTTATACATAATAAATTTAGACAGCACACACATATTATGTAAACAAACTTTTATTTTGGATGTGATTAATTGCAATTAATTGTTTGACAGCACTAAATGTTACACAAAATGTATACATACACATATATATATGTGTGTGTGTGTGTGTCTGTATATATATGTATATAGGAAAATAAATGTATAATAATAGACGAAAAATAAATATCATAATATTAGAGAAAAATATAAAGAATAAAATAAACATGCACAAATGCATTTTCTCAAACCTAATGGTCCAATGTTCAGATTTCTGTTCTGGAAATTTATGCAAAATTCAAATGCATGCATATTTAACTAGAAAATGTCATTTGCGTGTTTAAACAACATTTCAGAACACAACTTGTAACACAGATCTATCTTTAATTCGGTGATTCGTGAAGCTTCAGCTGTTGTTCTGACTGACTGTGACGGTTTCAATCTTTGTTTTTGATGCAACTGTGTTTTTCATGCATTATCAGCTGAAGCACACATTCATATTTCAGCATTGCTCATGTATATCCAGCCATGTCTTGTTTCTCCGGCTGTGCTTTATGGGTTGTAGTTTTAACGGCATGCCGTTTGTTCGTCAGAGCCGACGGTTCGAGCGGAGCTCATGGAGCAAGTCCCACACATCGCCATCTTCTGTCAGGAGAACAGACCTTCCATTCCCTTCGCCTTCTCCAAGTTCCTGCTTCCCATCGTGGTGCGATACCTGTCCGACCAGAACAACCTGGTAGGTGTGAGCTGTGTGTGCTGCTGCGGTTCCTCAGGAGCGCTGCTAAAGAGCCTGCTGCTGCTGCTGTGTCCCGGTCAGGTGCGTAAGACGAGTCAGGCGGCGCTGCTGGTTCTGCTGGAGCAGGAGCTGATGGAGCGAGGAGACGTGGAGAGCCTGGTGTGTCCGGTGCTGGTGGACCTGACCGCTCCCGACAGCAGCGACGACGTCAAGACCGAAGCCATGGCGGTGAGAGTCTGTGCTGCAGCCCTCAGCAGCATCAGTCTGTCTGGAGTCACATGAACAAACTGAGACGGACTCAGTCCAGAAGCTCCTGAGAAGCTCTGCTCAAGTGCACCGAGGGCAAAAGCTGCTGACTCCAGACAGACTGATGCTGATCACATCTCTGTGTGGACTCAGAACACATGCGGGTCCGCTTTGACCCGAAAGAGATGCATAAACATTTTTTTTTTAAATGCATAGTTTTTAGTAAGGAAACTAAACTTTGCAAATGCTTTAAAACCCTCAAAATACAAAGTTATTTTTAAAAGTTAAGTTAATCTAGAAGTCTATTTCATGCTCGGGTCATTTTGAACTGGGTATGTATGGAGCGCCGTTTGGTGTCAAAATGCTTTTTGTAAAATAATCTATGAAGTTATATTAGTGTCAAAATGCTTTTGTAAGATATATTTAGTCTTTTCTTCATGTCTCACACACTTTTGGACTAAATTTTGTTGATGAATATGTTGCATATTGATGAACTAATGAAGCATGAAAAACTGATCACTTTTTTACCTGAAAGTTAATGCAAGTAAAAATAATATTTTTTTGTTTGAAAACTTTTTTAGAGTCATATTTGTTGTTTTGGTAGTTTTATATAAATATGTACACTACCAGTCAAAAGTTTTTGAACTAAGATTTGTAATGTTTTTAAAGAATTATCTTCTGCTCACCAGGCCTGCATTTATTTGATACAAAGTACAGAAAAAAAACTAAAATTTTAAAATATTTTTACTATTTAAAATAATTTTCTATTTTAAAATGTATTTTATTCCTGTGATTTCAATGCTTAATTTTTAGCATGATTACTCCAGTCTTCAGTGTCTCATGATTCCTCAGAAATCATTCTAATATTCTGATTTGCTGCTCAAAAAAACATTTATTATTATTATGATGTTGAAGACAGCTGAGTAGAATTTTTTCAGGTTTCTTTGATGAATAGAAAGTTCAGAAGAACAGCATTTATCTGAAATAGAAATCTTTTGTCACATTATAATTTTTTTTAACATCACTTTTGATCAATTTAAAGCATCCTTGCTAAATAAAAGTATTAATTTCTATAATTGCTTTTAAAAAAAAAAAATGTATACTGACTCCAAGCTTTTGAATGGAATAGTGTATAATGTTACAAAAGCTTTTTATTTCAGATAAATGCTGATCTTTGGATATTTCTATTCATCAAAGAATCCTGAAAAAAATGTACTCAACTCTTTAAAATATTAATAATCAGTAAATCAGCATATTAGAATGATTTCTGAAGATCATGTGACACTGAAGACTGGAGTAATGATGCTGAAAATACAGCTGCGCATCACAGAAATACATTACAGTTTAACAGAGATTCACATAGAAAACAGCTGTTTGAAATAGTACAAATATTTCAACATGCGGGTCCGCTTTGACCCGAAAGAGATGCATAAACATTTTTTTTTTAAATGCATAGTTTTTAGTAAGGAAACTAAACTTTGCAAATGCTTTAAAACCCTCAAAATACAAAGTTATTTTTAAAAGTTAAGTTAATCTAGAAGTCTAATATTTCATGCTCGGGTCATTTTGAACTGGGTATGTATGGACCGCCGTTTGGTGTCAAAATGGTTTTTGTAAAATAATCTATGAAGTTATATTAGTGTCAAAATGCTTTTGTAAGATATATTTAGTCTTTTCTTCATGTCTCACACACTTTTGGACTAAATTTTGTTGATGAATATGTTGCATATTGATGAACTAATGAAGCATGAAAAACTGATCACTTTTTTACCTGAAAGTTAATGCAAGTAAAAATAATATTTTTTTGTTTGAAAACTTTTTTAGAGTCATATTTGTTGTTTTGGTAGTTTTATATAAATATGTACACTACCAGTCAAAAGTTTTTGAACTAAGATTTGTAATGTTTTTAAAGAATTATCTTCTGCTCACCAGGCCTGCATTTATTTGATACAAAGTACAGAAAAAAAACTAAAATTTTAAAATATTTTTACTATTTAAAATAATTTTCTATTTTAAAATGTATTTTATTCCTGTGATTTCAATGCTTAATTTTTAGCATGATTACTCCAGTCTTCAGTGTCTCATGATTCCTCAGAAATCATTCTAATATTCTGATTTGCTGCTCAAAAAAACATTTATTATTATTATGATGTTGAAGTGCACCGAGGGCAAAAGCTGCTGACTCCAGACAGACTGATGCTGATCACATCTCTGTGTGGACTCAGAACACATGCGGGTCCGCTTTGACCCGAAAGAGATGCATAAACATTTTTTTTTTAAATGCATAGTTTTTAGTAAGGAAACTAAACTTTGCAAATGCTTTAAAACCCTCAAAATACAAAGTTATTTTTAAAAGTTAAGTTAATCTAGAAGTCTAATATTTCATGCTCGGGTCATTTTGAACTGGGTATGTATGGACCGCCGTTTGGTGTCAAAATGCTTTTTGTAAAATAATCTATGAAGTTATATTAGTGTCAAAATGCTTTTGTAAGATATATTTAGTCTTTTCTTCATGTCTCACACACTTTTGGACTAAATTTTGTTGATGAATATGTTGCATATTGATGAACTAATGAAGCATGAAAAACTGATCACTTTTTTACCTGAAAGTTAATGCAAGTAAAAATAATATTTTTTTGTTTGAAAACTTTTTTAGAGTCATATTTGTTGTTTTGGTAGTTTTATATAAATATGTACACTACCAGTCAAAAGTTTTTGAACTAAGATTTGTAATGTTTTTAAAGAATTATCTTCTGCTCACCAGGCCTGCATTTATTTGATACAAAGTACAGAAAAAAAACTAAAATTTTAAAATATTTTTACTATTTAAAATAATTTTCTATTTTAAAATGTATTTTATTCCTGTGATTTCAATGCTTAATTTTTAGCATGATTACTCCAGTCTTCAGTGTCTCATGATTCCTCAGAAATCATTCTAATATTCTGATTTGCTGCTCAAAAAAACATTTATTATTATTATGATGTTGAAGACAGCTGAGTAGAATTTTTTCAGGTTTCTTTGATGAATAGAAAGTTCAGAAGAACAGCATTTATCTGAAATAGAAATCTTTTGTCACATTATAATTTTTTTTAACATCACTTTTGATCAATTTAAAGCATCCTTGCTAAATAAAAGTATTAATTTCTATAATTGCTTTTAAAAAAAAAAAATGTATACTGACTCCAAGCTTTTGAATGGAATAGTGTATAATGTTACAAAAGCTTTTTATTTCAGATAAATGCTGATCTTTGGATATTTCTATTCATCAAAGAATCCTGAAAAAAATGTACTCAACTCTTTAAAATATTAATAATCAGTAAATCAGCATATTAGAATGATTTCTGAAGATCATGTGACACTGAAGACTGGAGTAATGATGCTGAAAATACAGCTGCGCATCACAGAAATACATTACAGTTTAACAGAGATTCACATAGAAAACAGCTGTTTGAAATAGTACAAATATTTCACAATGTTACTGCTTTTGCTGTATTTTGGATCAAATAAATGCAGGCTTGGTGAGCAGAAGACACTTCTTTTCTTTAAAAAAACATAATCTTACTGTTAAAAAACTGTTGACTGGCAGTGTATGTTTTTGAGTAATTGTAAGTTATAAATGAAAAGGAATTTAATTATTCAGTTCATTCCAATGAGGTTAATACTGATAATTCTCAGATTATATGTTCTTATAAATTTCATGTTTTTTTTGTTTTTTTTTGGTGTGGTTCATGGGTGATTTAAAGTTTCTAAGTTTAATTAATAAAAAATGGGTAAATGCAGCAATAACATGGTAACATTAAAAACATTTCACATTCACTCATTAATGAGAAGTTGCTGATCAGATAAAATGTGGTTTTAGTTGAAAAATATTAAAGGGGTGGTTCACTGGGTTTTTTCTAGGCTTGATTGTGTTTATGGGGTGCAGTCTAACATGTGTTAATGCTTCGTTTAAAAAAAAAAAAAACGCATTATTTTTCACATAATTTACCTTTATTCCACACCGCTCTGTCCCTTCTCT